CCACCAGGGAGGGCCCTAAAATATATTTTTTTAATGACTACTTTTAAAAGGTTTCTAAAAGTCAAAAAAAAAAAAAAAGGTTTCTAAAAGTCTATATGGTCCGGAGTGAGTCACTTCAAAGAATTCTCTCTTAGAAAAGGCATATAAGAAAAGTAAGTGGTACATTAAGCAAATGTCTTTTTTTTTTTAATCAGAATGCTGATCATCTGACTGAAAGGTCATCTAAGATGGATGATGAACTTCCCAGAACTATATTACACAATATATTAAAATGTTCTCCTAAACCAAGCTTCGGGATAGTTTTCTTTATCACTGACAGAATACAGTCTCTTGAGAATGGAACAGTTTTGATGTAACCACTTACTCTGGAGAAAAAAACTTAAAACAGCAATGTCAAGAGGACAGCTATCAGTCTAAGGATATCAGGAGAAACAAGAGGGAAAGAAGCGGGTAAATGAAGTCTGAATGTCCTTCCCCAGCCTCTGGCAAACATAGACCTTAATGTTAGAAAAAGATCTTGACAATTACAGTCCTCACACACTGCCATGGAAGTGAAAATATTTATGGCAAAATGTTTAGCTTGATCTGTGAAAGTTAAATATGTATCCAGCATGTGTTCTAAAGAAGTGCACATGTGAACCTTGAGAATAAACTGTATTATTATAGTGGCATCACTCTGGGTGCCCCAAACTAGTAATAATCTGAATATTCATCTATTATAAAATAGTAAATAAATGGTGGTTTGTTCACAGAATGTTATAGTGTAGAGCATCAAAATGGATAAAATATAGATAAATATCACAACATGAATTTCACAAGTTTATTGGGGAACAAAAGAAGACATCTAAAAGTATACATGAAACATAGTTTCATTTATATAAAGCACAATGCTTACTGTTGGAGAGGAAATGAAGTTTCCTCTACTTTTTTATATCTTTATGACTTGAATAACTGACACAAGACAGGTTAACAAGAGAAAAATACCTATTTAATTTTATGTGTGTGGAGGTAACATTATGAATATGAAACACCCCCAAATGACTCTCTATAGTTTATAGGCAAAAAAAAAAAAAAAAAAGCAGTAAGTCTGTGAAAGAAAGGACAAAGAAATATTTAGTTTGATTTGACAACTAATGTTGTAGGCTGAACTGTTCTTGTTTATACAACTTCCTGCCCCTGACTCTGATACTGGAGGTAGTTGTCTCTGTCTCTAGGGAATCTACCCTTCATATGACAGTTTATTTGATGTTTTTCACCGTAACAGAGGAGAGTCAGAGAACAATTCAGGAAGGGTTAGGGAATCATTCCTTCATTCTTTTACTATTTCTTCAACTTAAATAATATGCCACTTCAACTTATCCTTAGAAAGTCCTACAATACTAAGTTATGAAATAATAATAAATCAAGAAAATGATAGCATTAGGAGACAGTTACAATTAAAGAGACACAGAGGAAGATAGTAGTGATTAAGATGGGAGTGTAAGGAGAGATTCTAGGGTACAAATAATATTTTATTTATTGACCCCTGTAGTAATTACCATAAGTTTTATTTATAATACTTTTGGTTTTTAAAGATTTATTTATTTATGCAAACAGAAGTGGGATAAAGGCCAGAGGTGCAGGGGGTGAGAGGATTCACCAGAGACAAAGTGGGGAGTAAAACAGGCAGATTGACAAGAGAGGCATTTGGGTCATCCCCAGCCCCTCACCCCCAACCAGGGATCAAACTCGTGCTGAAGCAGCTGGGCTACGGATAGCTTTATAATGCTGTGCTTTAACCCCTTGCGCTGTCAGGGAAGGCCCTATTTAGAATATTTTCTAAGGTGGATATTTACATATTAAGGATGTTTCTATTTATAATAATCACCTGTCTCCCCACCAATATTCACCAATTTCTAGTGTATTTCAGAACAACAGCTAACCCAGGACAGCACTTCAGGTTTAGACAAAAATAGTAAGTATCAATATGTCAGCCCTTCATACATCTCCATTACAATATACTTCACTACATATTTGAGTCCATATTTGTCTTTACAAGGTAATTCACCATTTGCTGGTCCGTTCACAGCCCCCAGACACATGAAAATCTCCAACAATTCCAGCACCATCACTGGATTCATCCTCCTAGGCTTCCCTTGCCCCAGGGAGGGGCAGATACTCCTCTTCCTGCTCTTCGTTTTTGTCTACCTCCTGACCCTCATGGGCAATGGTTCCATCATCTGTGCTGTGCACTGGGATCAGAGACTCCACACACCCATGTACATCCTGCTCGCCAACTTCTCCTTCCTGGAGATCTGGTATGTCACCTCCACTGTCCCCAACATGCTGGCCAACTTCCTCTCTGACACCAAGGTCATCTCCTTCTCAGGGTGCTTTCTCCAATTTTACTTCTTCTTCTCCTTGGGCTCTACAGAGTGCTTTTTCTTGGCTGTTATGGCATTTGATCGATACCTTGCCATCTGCCGGCCTCTGCACTATCCAACCATTATGACTACTCACCTCTGCAACAATCTTGTGGTTATCTGCTGGGTACTTGGTTTCATTTGGTTCTTGGTTCCCATCATCATCATCTCTCAAATGTCCTTTTGTGGATCCAGGATTATTGACCACTTCCTGTGTGATCCAGGCCCTCTTTTAGCACTCACCTGCATCAGAGCACCTATAATAGAGATGACTAGCTCTACCTTAAGTTCTCTACTTTTGTTTGTTCCCTTTCTCTTCATCATGGGGTCCTATGCTCTGGTTTTAAGAGCTGTATTCAAAGTTCCTTCAGCAGCTGGACGAAGAAAGGCCTTCTCGACCTGTGGGTCTCATCTGGCCGTGGTTTCTCTATTCTATGGCTCAGTGATGGTCATGTATGTGAGCCCAACATCCAAGCATAAAGCTGGAATGCAGAAAATTGTGACTTTGTTTTATTCGGTAGTTACTCCACTCATTAATCCTGTGATCTATAGTCTAAGAAACAAAGATATGAAAAATGCTATGAAAAAACTACTGGGAACTTACAATTAAGAGTCTCAATTTAAGAATTGGGAGAACAAAATCTGTTTCTTACTTCTTGGTTAAAAAAAAAAACTAACTGATATTACTCAAACAATTGCTCGTATTATTTTTCAACTTTATAAACTATAATGTTTTTCTTATTTCCTAGAACTTACAGGGCTATAAGGAACCTCAAAGGCACATTCCATCTCCCTGATTTTACAAATGATCCAATTGTAGTTTAAAAATTGGGTTGTGTTTGTTGGGGGAAAATTTTTTCAAATAAATCTGCTAACCCAGAAAACCTCTTCAAAATCATAAGTTCACCTAATATTAGAATGGTCATCTCTGTTTGCTATTGGGTATATATATCTGTAAAACAAGAGGGAGTTTTGCAACATGGAAGTTAGGCCACCAAAAATTGACTCCTACATTCCCACAGAAACTGGGAGATAAGAGCACTCTCTACTTTGCTGATTGCATTTCATAAAGAGAATTCCTAGGTCATTGGCAAAGATATCCTGGATCATATAGCTGGCAAGAGGTTTTTAATCTAGTTTATTTTTTTAATCTAGTTTATTCTGTTGTGATCCCACTCCTTAACCTTGTGATATATAGTCTTAGGAAAAAGACCCTGTGAAAATTTTTAGGAATATGTGAAGTGGTCATTAAAAAGGTTCTTGTCAATTAGACACCTATTTAATTTATTTTTGATTAAAATAAAAACTAATTTCTTCAGATTATTATTCTTTCTAGTATTGACCAAAACTTGAATGTATGTTTCTGTTGTCTACTTCTCCTCTTGATCATTGATCAGTTTGCCGTTTCTTAGTATTCCTCACTTGTTTTTAATTAAATGTTAGAAATTCTCACTGTTCTTTGTGGTTTATATGTTTACCATAAGGAAAACGAGGCTATTGTCTGTGCTGTGAGTTGAACCAGTGACTCCATACCCCAATGTATACAGTCCTGGGGACATTTCCTTGAAATCTGGTAAATCACCTCCAGTGAGCCCAGTCTGCTAGTCAATTTCCTCTCAGAGATAAAAATCATTTCTTTTGTTAGATGTTTTCTCCAGTTCTATTATTTCCTTCCTTTGGCACAAGGAGGCATATTTTCTCTGATCAAGGCTTATGTTGGATTACCTTGCTCTCTGCTGCTGGGTATCAGTTGGCAGCAGACCCAACTGTTACGGCCTAGCAATTATACAATATCTTACTATCTCGGGCCCTCCCTGGTGGCGCAATGGGTTAAGAAGCAGCCCTGCAAGGGGCCACAGCTTCTTCAATGCGATACACCCCGGCCCCAGAGGTGACACACATGACGTGACAGACCTCTCCTGACCCACCCACTGCTCCCCTTAGCAGTGTACTTCATGGTCGATCTGCCTGTTCTGCTCCCCACGCTGTCTCTGGTGAATCTTCTCAACCCCCTGAACCTCTCTCTGGCTTGTACCCCAATTCTGTATGCATTAATAAATAAATCTTAAAAAAAAAAAAAGCAATATCTTGCTGTCTCTTTGGGGGGTTTTGGGTTCCTCAGCTCCTCTATCTCCACTGTGCAGTTCTCAGTTGCATTTCTTGAGCCCCACACCATTGATCACATTGTAAGTGATAAGGACCCACTGATGACTCTCTTGTGCTCTTGTTACTAAAACTGTAGCTCCTGTAACTAAAACTGTCTTCTCCATCCTATACACCATCATTATCAATTTCACTCTTTGGTACATCCTTGGCTCCTATACCCTGTTAGGTATAAAAAAGTCCCTTCTGCAGCTGGTCAGAAGGCCTTTTCCACCTGTGGTTTGTTTATTCTTTGGGGCCCTTTTGGCAGTGTGTGTGACACCTACAGCTGAAATTCAGAAAATCATGACTTTGTTGTATTCCATGGTGACTCTCTTCTTAAGCCCCTTGTTTTAGCTTAGGAAACCAGAAGTAAAAGACTGTACTGAAGAAAATCCTGAGGGCAGAATGAGCATTGATAATATGCAAAAATATGAAGTAAACACTGTCCAGAGATAAAAATTAACTGCAAAATAATTTTCTTCATTGCTGGTAATTCTCCAATGACATTTTTTAAAGAAGGTATTTCTAAATGGGGGCCTTCAATGCTTTATTCTTCAACTATGTGGGCAGAACTAGGCTACAGTGACTCACATTGCATTCCAAATGTAATAACCACATTTTCAGCTGACAGACTTGAAGGCATTATTACCTGTACTATTTTATGCTAGTTTAGGTTTGTTTATTGGGGGTTGGAGGAGAATGTAGAACAAGATCAAAATCCCACGTGGATCATCAAAGCATTTGATGGTATTCAAAGCATTTCTTAAAAACCAATTTTTAAAGACTGAA